TACAGACTAACATGGCTGCTACTCTGAAATGAAGATAGTGTTCTAGACTTTTCCTTTCAGTGGAACGGAGTGGCCAGATCACAGCAATGGCCATGTGATCTAAGAGGATGTGGGCTGGTATTTATCAAACTGTGACCAGACTTATTTTTTCCTTAACAGGCTATTTTATTTATTTCTAAGTTAGAGAGGGAGCTGGCAGTGATTCATATTTAGGTTGCCTAACATGTGCCAACCTGTATAAAAATACTTGTGAACTTCTTTGGGAAATTCTAACACCTCCATTGCTTACAGCAGACCTCTGAGGTATGACCAGAAGAAAGCCCTCAGATCATAGGAGCACCTTTTCCTTTCAGCTTTGAAATTCCATTCAGGTCTGGCTGACTTATTACCTGCTAGAAATTACCATTTCCCTTCTCTCACGGGCATCTCCAGGAAAATTGCTGACAGCCTGCCAAAATAATAATTGTACCAGACACAGCACTGGGAACTGCACGAGGGCAGGGGAGAAGAGAGAACCAGGGCATGGTCTACACACCCATCCTCCGGTTGTCAGCTGGCGTGCATGTGTGCTCTGAACGCTGTCCTGGCTCTGCGCAGGTACCCAGCTCAGCAGACCTTGATAGAACTGCCCAGAAAAATCATAGACTCGGTTCAGAGGCAAAGGTGCTCCACCAGGTTTATTGTCAACAAGGCACGGTCCTAGCGCCCGACAGATGCCACAGGGATACGATCACAGGTATGTCCGGGCCCTTCTGCTGCCCCCTAGACTGGACAAAGATGCTGCTCCTACAACTCCTCTTTTCTACATTGATACAAACAGGTTACGTATTGCACTCCTGATGTGTGACCAACGTGTTACTGACTCTACCTGCTGGTTCGAACAAAACATCTCTAGCTATTGTCCTGTCGTCCTGTCCTTAGCTTTGGAGGGGTCAGTGTGTCCCTATCTTTAGGGAGTATGTTTATGCCATGAATCTATGTCGGGTTGTATCTGTGCAAGCCTTCTGGAATGTGTTTACATGAATACCTAGTGCCTAGTACTTAGGGTGTCTGTGTTTTAACAATGCCAGTCCAATTTTGCCAAGTTCACGTACTGGACAAGGAACGTGCAACACGGCCTGACTTTTGCTCAGAGTATGGCTTTTGCTGACTTTGATTCAGGCCTCAGGCCTTGTACCAGGCCCTGGGCTCCAGGCTTTCTCTTACTACTACACCTCCCAGAGCCAGGGGGCAGGAGCAGCAGCTGTCCATGGGGAAGATGGTGGAGGAGAGAGGGGGAAATGAGCCATGCTTCCCTCCTCCATTTGGAGATAACAACTTTCCACTGCTGTGAGTTAATGTAGTTAGTTCTGTAGCTCAAGTGGTAGTAGCCTGTACAGCCATGTAGCCGGGTGAGAGTTCAGAGGGAGTAGGTGTTAGTTATATAATAAAATGCCTTACATTTAAGAAAAAACACACTAGGACACTTCATACAATGAGAGCTCTGCTCATATTGATTTTGGTTGCAAAGTCAAGCAGCTAAAAGTTAGGACATAGCAGAGATAAGGCTGCTCATACACAACAGCAGAGCTCAGAGAACAACCCACGCAGCCTCCCTGCCAGTCCTGTGCTGCACCCACAACATGCACAACTGCAACCCTGGAATCTAGTGCAGGGGGACGAGTAATCCCAGAATAGTAGAGACCGGGGTTCAGTTTTTCTCTCGGCCTCATGGGAAGGGCTCTGAACAATGACAGCCTTGAGGCCTTCATGTTGTGCCACTTGAATTTTCTGTTCATTGGGCCAAAGCAAGAGCTCATTATGGGATGCCGTCTCTAGGGCAGTGGTTAGGGTGCTTCCTTGGGCTGTTAGCAGTCCTGGTTCAAGTCTCCTGTCTACCAGTTAGTGCAGCAGGCTTTGAACAGGGGAGCTGCTCTGGCTTTTTTGTTGAAGCTGTTCCACTTTAACTATTAATTAGGCCCAAAACAAGACTCAACAGTAAGATGCCCTCTGCAGCACAGTGGCTGGGCTAAGTACTTGGGATGGTAGAGACCCTTGTTCAGCTCTTCTCTGGCCTTTCTGAGATGGGATCTGAACACTGACAGCCCTGAGGTTTCCATATTGACACTGGTCCACTTTCAGTATCTGTTAATTGGGCCAAAGCAAGACTTAGGCCAAAGAAGCTCTCTATAGTGCAGTGGTTCCATTACTTGCCTGGGGTGCTGGCCTGCTTGGTTCAAGTCCCCCATCTAATGCCAGAGATGTTTCATTTGAACAGGGATTTCCCTTAGTCTTGCTTGTTGGAGCCATTCTCCTTTACTTAACTAGGAACTGGGGCAGGAAAAGAGCTAGGATCGCTCTATAGTCCAGCAGTTGGGTGTTTGCTTAGGAAGTGGGAGATGTTTGGATTTCCTGGTTCAGAATCCTCCCTCTTCCCCATTTGAATGGGGAAATCCCAGGTGGCAGATTCCTGTTTAGCTCCCCTCTGCTTTACAGGAGCCCTTGTCTTCCTGGGAAAAGGAGGGGTCTTAGACAGGGGTCTCTCACCTCTAGATGGGTGGGGCAGGTGGATGGGGAGGGGAGTTGAAGAGACGGGTGGGGCAGTCCCTGGGAGGTAGGAGAGCCCTGTTCCAATCCCTTCACAGAAAGGGGATTGGAAATGGGATCTCCCACTGCCTGGGCAGATAGCTGGTTGCAGGGGGCAAAAGAGTGATTCCTGTTTTATTAAAAGTGCCCAGAGGTGGCAAATACTTTTCCAAAAGCCCTTCACTTCCGCAGGCACAGAGGAGAACAGAACTCACAGGTTTGACAGCCCAGGTGAACACCCAAAGCACTGTACTATGGAGGGCTTCTTACTCTTAATACTTGCTCAGGCCCAATCAATAGTTTAATTAAAGTGGAACAACTTCAACCACTGAGCTTAAATCCCTTCTCAGCAAATAGGAGGATTTCTCCCATGGAGTGGGACAGGGAACTTTGGTCTGCAGGGCTGTTAACCTGGCACCATTCAGTAACACTGAATTTAGATTACAATTGTAAAAATTTAAGGTTCCCCTTGAGATATAATCAAGGCAATTATGTGATAACAAAACTGAAGTTAGATCCGTAAAGGAAACATCTAGTGAGTAAACAGCCTACAGCTGCACTCACTCAGGCCCCAGGAAATACTCCGTTCATGTTATAGACATACAAAATGTGAACAAGTTTATAGGAAAATATGCCAGAGGTATATAAGAAATACAGTGACTGGTGTGAACATGTCCAAATACAAAATGATTGGGAGTAGTACTGCTGTGTCTCTTTTCTACTGTAAAGCTTTAGTGACCTTGGTTTTGAGTCAATACTGTTATCTTGTTTGACCTGAGCAGTTAGCCAAAATTTGGGGTCTTGGAGGTTGTTCCAAATGGGAGGAGAAATTGATGATGGAAGTCTGGTACCTTTGGTGCAATCTTGTTTATTTACAAAGAACGTACAAAGTCCTGTTTCCTTCAACACAGGAGGAAGCAAACTGTGTGCCCCTTTCCTTTCTCGCAGAACCAAACCTATTTCAGCTAGCAGAGTACCCCCAAAACCTCCATTTTCTAGGCTTTTCTCAGCGTAGTTACCAGCTGATGCTGTCTTGTTTTCTGCTCTTTCTGTCTCTCCCTTTGTGCTGTGTTTCTCATACACATCCATAGACAAAACAGTATGTAGTAAAGTCCCTCTGTCCAAAATGCCAACATTCGGGATGCATAGTTCTTCATTTCCGGCAGCGAGATGTGCTTACCTGCTTTGCAGCTTTCTTAAGTGAAGGATGGTGGTGAATTCTAACAGTATAATTTCACAGTAACCCAAGCTGAACAGAAAATTCCTTTTGCAGAATCTCATCCTGCAAGGTACTAAGCACTGTCCACTCCTTGTAGCAGAGGGTGCTCAGCACACTTGCAGGATCCAGCCTTCAAGAAACATCTACCACCATTTAAAACAAGCAGCTGCTTCTCAGGTGTGCAGTCCCTAAGGAGCCATTTGAACCAAATCCAGCTTTCAAATGGGACGTGGAGTGCAGTGAAACAAGCATACACCACATACGCTAACGGAAAGTACAGCAATACAATGACCTAGACCAGTGAAACCTTGTTTTCATGTGCAGACCCCTAAATAATTTGGAATGGAGATGCGGCCCCCTTTGGAAATTCTAGACAGTCTGCGGACCCACAGGTTGAAAACCTTTGACCTAGACTGACTGGACAGGGGGTACTGACGTAGCTACAACAGACTGGTTGTTGTTCGGTGTTTGTGCTGCACCTCGCACAATGGAGTCCTGGTACACAAATGGAGCTCTTCGGTGCTACTGCAGTACAAATAAATAAAGCAATTTGCAGTAGAGCCAAAAGCAGAGTTGGAAACACCCGCGTCTCTCTACTCTTCCTGTAGTTTAAGTACCACACAAGTGTCCTTCCTCAGTCTTATGATCCCTTCCTTTTGTCATTTCCTTCCCTGTGGAACCTGCATTTGAAGGTCTCATCTGTGACCGAATGTGGGAGATATTTAAATAGTTACACATTTCAAAGCACCTCATCAAAGGAGAGACACCTTTGATGGGAAATGAGACTCCAAAATCTCCTAGTCACTGCCCATCCCTCTCCTTAAATATTCCTTCTTGGCCTTTCAGAGAACCCTAATTCCAAAGCCACCAGATTAGAGAGACACACTTGGATCACAATAGCCTCATTGTGCCCCTTGGGACAGACTGCAAGGCTCATTTTCCCTAACTAGAAATAATAAGAGATTGTTTTCACAGTTCCAACATTCTTAACCTTTCTTTTTGCTACTTCATTGCCAAAAAAATCAGCAGGACTCGTAGCTGAGGTCTAGTGACTGGATCAGGATAGAGGGTTAGATTTCAACATCACCTGTAAATAATCAGTTTATAGTAATAAGTATGGAAAAAGACAGGATATTAGAATCTTCATTCAGTATTCCTTTTATTTAAAAAAACACATTAAAAAGATTACATAAATCCCACAAATTCCTTCAGTTACAGTTTCAAAGATTGATGCATATTGCTAAACAAAACTCAACATAGTTGTGATTATAAAAAAGAATATAAACAACATGTTTTAAATTATAAAATAAATTTATAATAATGTATTGGATTACAATCACCTCTATTTTACCAGCAGAGAGTGCCATATCCTGAATTTTAAAAAGCTTGTTTTCAGACCTCCAAAGACATTTTTTGATGACTAAAACATAAAATTAATTTAGTCACTAAACCACTGGAGAACTTGCTATGGAATACACTTTTGATCTTATTGCTTACCTCTTATAAAGTGCTAGTTGATTGTAGGGAAAGAAACAGGATGCCTTATTTTCAGTAAATTTTATTAAAAACTCAGTGATGAGTATTCTGAACATCTCTGGAACTCCATGTAAATTCACACACGTCACTCTGATATATAGTGTCTCCCCTAAGAGAAAATTTGTAAAAAGAAACCGAAGCTATAGAGCTGGGAACAAAAGGTGGATTTATCTGAAGAGATTCTCACTTCAACAAAAATCTGTAGATGAAGACTAAATCTGAAGAAAGGTCACATCAAGAACCTACAACATTCCTTTTAGAGTCTGGCATCTTTACATTTGGGTTTGAAGACTAACATTATGCACTTCATGATGGAAGCCTGTAAGCAGGTATCTAAACAGGCTCTCTTGCCACCTGCAGCTAAAACCCACAATCCAAACTATGCCACACTCAGGTGGCCAACATGTTCTTTAACAGGTGAAACATTTAGCACTATGGAGAGGCAGAATAAGGAGTCAGCCGTGTGTACAGAACAGCAAGTAATTCTGATGCTTTTGCTTGCTTCAGAAACCAGTTTTTAAAGACAAAAGGGATGATCCACTTCCCTTTTTCTTTTTGCTTTTTTCAAATGTAGTGGATTCCGATTACAATTCCAGTTCAAAGGAGAAAAGTTGTAGTGAAAGGAACTCTGGTTGCCCGAGAGGGGTCTATTTTCACTACAGAAATTCAGTGCAAATGTATGAAGCTTATTTCCTAACTTTTCCATTCTTTTCTTCCAATATTATGTCTGTTAATTTGTAAGCCATTAGCTAACATCGACCTTCATCCTGGAAAAAAAAAGATAACGGTTAAAATCAAAATAGTTATAGATTTTAGTCTTCTACAGCTTTAGACTTCAGTCTATAGGCTACTTTAAGCTTTTCATATATTGTACTTTCCAGTACGTTCAGGAACAAACATTAGTTTTTGAATTAAAAAGTCGGTAGATGTTAACTTTTTAAATGAAAAAAAAATTACTTGATGTGTAACAATAGCATACAATAGAAATATATTTTCAAATGATTTCATGTTAAAGCAAAGTTCGTAATATTTCTCTGATAGAAAAAGTAGGAGAAAACATGTATTATGGATATGACAGGGGCTAGGGCTAATTAGTAAGCAGAGTTAGTAACTGCAAGGACAAACAATGAAAAACGTTATTTACATAAAAGAACCAAACTCTTCCTGGGCCTCCCATGTCCCCCCTCCTCACTATAAAATAAAGCTGAGCTGAGGAATTCCTTTGGAAGTTCCCCACTGTGTCAGGAGTGGACATCTACATAGATTTATGTAAACTACATTTTTAAAGAGGGATATTAGTTTCAGTGACTAGTCATATTGAATATCAATCTTATTTAACAATGGCTAGTGCAAATACCGTGTAAAGTACTAAAGTCCTTATGAAATCAACTTCTGAACCTCTTTAGTATATATCACAAAGAGAGAAAAGCTCTTCAGGGGATGAATTTGACTAGTTTACCCTATCTGTATAATCCATTTGATGAACTGCTAGTACATGTCCCCATATGGGATAAAATCTTATATTTGCTTATAATCTTTATGGTTTTAGGAATTTATTTTTCACCTAAAGAACAAAATTTGATTTGCTCCTTCAATCTTAAAATGGACATATGGAAGTAATGAAATAGAGATGAGATTTACATGTTAGACAGATACCGGTTTTCAATCAACTTCATTTAGAAAGAACACACAATGTTCAAGTCTGTTGTGTTTGCAGAGAAAAAACATTATATTGAAGAAATCTAGTACTTTAGTGGTTAACCCAACAATGATGTCACATGCAACATTTCAGTTCACGTCAAGAAAGAAAAGGTTAGAAAAAGTAAGAACCTATAGATTATATTCTCAATTTGAATGTATTGTATAATTCTACTCTGTTCTAACAAACAACATAGAATCAGAAGACACCATCTACATATTTTTAGGTGGAGGAAGATATTTTTCTATTACAAAATATGCCTTTCAAGACCCAGTTTAGATTTTGTTTCACCCTCTGGTAGTTCATATTTTCTTGGAAATTGGTGCTTCAGGGAGAGAACGCTAATTGAATAAAATATGTTTGCAGAAATAAAAGACAGAAAATAAAATAAAATAAATAAATATTTAAATAAAATAAAATAAAAGAGAAAAAATTAATAGTTTCTAAAAGGAGAGCTTTTATAAAACTAGAATTTTTAAATGAATTAAGATTAAATTTAGGCTATTGGGAAGATATTTTGATGGCAACATGCATTAAGCTGTAGTATTCTCTACCGGCAAAGTGGTGGAAATTTAAACAGTAGCAAGAGCAAGATATTATAAAACATTGTTTTTCTTTGTAAAGCTTCCTCCAAAATACACCAAAAACATATTTGAAAAAAAACCGTATGTCCCGCACTTCCAAGAAATTAAAATATTCACTGGGATTGTGTGGTGTGTGTGGGAAACCTGCTAATGCTGAGGGGGAAAGCTTTGGACTTCACCTTGTTTGGGATCAAATCAAGTATTGCTGTTTTATTGATACTCAGAGGAAGCGACCAACAATGACACATTTTGGGGGACATCATATAATATGAAAACAATTTATCCTCTGTACATTTTTCTCTTTAGACCAGAGGGATAAGGTGTTGCTGAGGGGGAAGGAGTTGTACAACTCCACAACCATGTTTTTGTAATGTGTTTGTGGGCTGATTTTCCAGAATTTTGTGTCGCTGTTTTAAAAATAAGGATTTTTTTTAAAAGGTTTCTGTTTTCAGGAATTTTTTTATATTCAGTTGCTGAATATACCAAGTAGTAAGAAACATGCATAACGTTTAAGGAAGTTGTGAATTCACCGGTGCAGAAGGTTATTGAAGTAATAGTACAGATACATTTCAAGAAAAAGACAATTATAAGATCCACCATTTGTTACTTAGGAATTCTAAGAGAAGGGACAATGAGCTATCATATGTCAGCTGTAATATGACAACCTCAGGAGTCAAATTTTCCTCCTGTTTCCCTCCCGCAATCTATGCATACTTTTGCACAACTCAAGAGTGGTATTATAGTAGGTGTTTTTTGCATGCTTTTTGGAACCATCAAGTATGGGAAACCATCAAGTATGGGTAGCTGGTGGCAGGAGAAGCTAGATAATAGTTTGGTGCCCTGAAGCAGATCCTGCATTTACGACGCAATGCAAAACAAATCTTCATGGTAACTAGTCTGTTCCCCCACAAGTCAATTGGAAGCATGAGTTAAACTTCCC